TCCACTAGTCTCCTGTTTCAAATGTAAACATCAATGGCCGCCATTAAAAACAGGCTTAGCGGCAGTTGAACAACTTTAAAATTGCTGATAATTCTAAAAATATTGCACACAAATTTACTAAAGGCATAAAATCCTTAACCGGAAGATAAAAACAACATAATTCAATCATTTTTAAAGCAAAAAATATACAATTTACAAACATATAAGAGTAAAGAAACTGAGATCACTGAGTCGGGTAATAGAGTGGATATATATATAAATATATTTATATACGTTTGGTGCGGCCGATTGCAACCAAAATACGAGGTGCACATCTACATGTTATAGCAGTCCTATATTCAAAATTTCAACATTCTGAGGCTACTCGTTTTTGAATTATGCGAGATACGTACGTACGTACGCACGCACGTACGTACATACATTCGTACAGACGCCACGAAAAATTCTCTTCAGAATTAATTTTAAAGCAGTTTTAAAATTTTTTTTGAAGGAAAGGAGTATTTTATTCTGTCCTTACGTACAGATATGACGCAAAAACTTCGTTAAATTGCATTCGATAGCGGTCAAAATGGATATTTTCGTTGAAATATGCTGCTTGAAACTTTTCGCGATTACAATACTTCTTTTTTACTTCGTACAAGGAAGTAAAAAAATTGTCTCTTTGTAGAGTGAGAAAGGTAAACTTTCAATTTTGTGCACCCAAAAATGTGTCTTTCTGCCCGTTGGCCGAATAACTTATTCTTGCGTAGACATACTTAATGTTAAAACTGTTTTGTAAGTGTTTTATTTGTATTCGGTGTTTTGCGTTTCTCTGTATTTTACAACTTTTACTGAAGATGTTTTGAGATTTATATATATTTTTGCCTTGCCGCAAAGTGGGAGCTCAATTCATTGAATGAGAAATATATCTCTAATGAAATTCGAGGGATAAGTTTAAAAATAATGCAGCAAAAATTGCGTATAATTTAATACGCCGTACAAGGAAGTCATGTGGTGTACACATTAGAATTTTTACTTGGTCACGAGAGGGGGTTTGGGGTTAAGGGATCAAAGCCTTTACTAATTACACAGGTGTGATAATAAGTGACGCAAAACGTTTGCGTTCTAAAATTTCAGATACTCGATCGAAGTTTCTTTAAAAGTCTCTATTCTGCGAAACAACTCTTAGCTTACAGTTTACCCGTTTCCATTCTTTGCTATACATTCTGAGATTAGGTCGTCTTCCAATAAAAATAACTGTTTCAGTTATAGATTTAAAGTCTAAAACTTCAGTTTAGAAATTTTTCCCAACTACGGATTACGTCAATTTGGAAGGAATAGACATAACAACTGGAAACAAGAACATGTCTTGGTAGAAAAACTTCAGCATTATTAGGGTGTATAATAAAATGTTGTTAAAGCTTTTGGCTTATGTCTGAACAAAAATATCATAGCTGTAATCTCTTCCTTTTTCCTTCGTAGCAGTAGCTCATAATATCTAAGTTTTACGAACATAAAAAAAAGGTTTTGGGGACTTAGAGATAAAACATACGATACATTTATATCGATTCTATGTTTTATTTTAGTTTACAGTAATAGATGTTTTTAGATTGCCGTTTTTATTTTTTTTAAGTTTACACTTTTTAGACTAAATGTAATTGAGATTGGCTATTTAAAATGGTTTCCTATCTTTTATCGGCGCATATATGTATTTTTTTTTAATTTAAGAAGTTTATACTTTTATGTATTACACTAATGGTTTCCATTTTTTTTTTAATTCACTACAGCCTTTTTGTAAAATTTCACTAATGATGTACAAATAAACAGTATATATCCTTTGTCAGAAAAGTTCCAGGAAAAATATCGTAAAAAATAAAAAATTTCATTTACCAAATAATGATCCTAGCTGCTATCAAAGTAGCCCCTTGACTATCTATACACAACTGCCAACGTTTCTGGAGATCTTGGAAGAAAGCAGGGAAATCTTCAACTGCGAGGCTTGCAAGCTCATTTGTTACAGCCCGTTGAATGTCTACAATAATCTTCATGAAGCTTTTTTTTTCAGTCACCTTTTCACTTACGGTAACAAGAAAAAATCACAATAATCATTGACACAAATGTGCCATCACATCTGGTTCTATTCAATAATTCACTATAATAAGAAGAAATTCTTCGTCTTTGCCCTTTCTGTTCATCTGTGAGTGAGCGAAAGATGATTCCTGCATTAAGTTTTCGTTTCCCTAAATATTAGTGTAAAATCTTATGACACACGTCACAATTCAAATCACAATTACACGACGTTTTTCTTGCAATAACTGCCTTACACGCTGTACGTTTGCATCGGTATGTGCTGTGAACGGGTGATCAGCTCTGGGATCGTCTTCCACTATATCTCTGCCTTCACGAAACCTTTTGTCTCACTAAAAAACACAACTTCTTGAAAGTTCTTCACCTGCATATGCTTGCTTAATAATTTTCCACGTTTCACTAGAGGTTAAATTTTGTTAAAATTACTTGAAAGAAGGAAAGATGAGTCTTTTATTCCTTGCTCGAACACAGTGAAAGGGAAAAGAAAATAAGCTACTATGTAGTTAAGAAGTTCGCCAAGTGAAATATTCTTGGCGAAACTGAAAAAAAAAGCGTCAAGACAAATTTTTTAATTTCTCTGTAAATTTCGCACCAAATTTTACAAAATTTAATATTTAGGCATAATTTGTGTCGTAAAATTGAAATATGGAAAAAAAATAGCCCGTCATTTCAGATAAAGTCCGATCAAAATACCTGTGTTAGAACAATGCTGTATATAAATGTAATATATATTCTAAGTCCCGCTTTCGAGACTTAAAAAACCAATTTGAGGAATTCTTAATAAATTATTACAAATGCTATTTACAATATGATTTTGTAAAAAAAAAAAATAATTTTTGCATATGTGTTTTCAATTTTAAAGTATTCACATGATTTTTACTTAATTATGACTGGTAGATCAAAGAACAATGACGAACGCACAATGTATCTTGTTATATATAAAGCTTTCTACCATACATCTAGCTCTTTATAACCGGAAGAGAAGAGAAACACGTTAATGTAAAATTCTTACTTAAGCAGTGCAGCAATCTTATTTTGGCGTAGATCTTGAAGAAAACTATTTATGCTAAAAAAAAGTCGTTTTCACCTAATGTTTAAACCTAACTCTAAATTTATATTTTGTTTAGAAATTAATTAATTTTAGCAAAATTTTGATGTCACATTGAAATAGTTTCACACTATTTAATTAGGTACTATTCGGTTTCGAGGGCCGTAAAATATCGCCAGACTATTGTTAGTGCCAATGCTGCCAAAAATAATTGCGGCAACCCTAATAATTGCGGCAAGAAAGGAAGTATAATAGTAAATAACTATCTGAGATTGATGTTTTAATTTAGATGAAAGGTTAATTTTCATATAATACTTTTTTATTATTATAATTTATATAAAAATGGCTAAACATGATTGAATGGAAGCATAAGAGTAAATAACTATTTCAGATCATTATTATAATTTATATAAAAATTGCTAAACATAACTGAATGGATGCTTGCATCGCTATTTCGCTACCGACTTATCGCTAGAGCATAATTTCATCTCGTTGGTTGTTCAAACGTAATTTTCTATAATGAATGATGCCCTTTTCTTTGAAAATATTCTCGGTAAAGTGCAGAATCGCTCACTTATTTGCTTGCCGCTTTTTACAAAGGTAAAAACAATTGGATTTTTGTCAATTTTCTTTTACTTTTTAAGTGAAAATAGGTCGATGACATAGATAAAGTCAAGGGTGTGTGCAGTGCCATTTTTGTGCAATTCTAGGATTTTTTTTTTTTTTTTTTTTTTTTTTTTTTTAAGTGAAAATAGATCGATGTGCACATGGATACCGTGTATGTGGAATTCTTAAAAATGTGTCAAGCAGTGGGTGATTCTGCACTTTACCCAAAATTCTATTGCCGACTTTTCGTCATGGGCAACTGCCAAATTATTAAATCCATTGGATATCAAATAAGGATTTAAAATCCAAAAAGGATTTAAAAATTAAACTAGTATTTCAATGGCGCCTTAAGAAATATAGAACTATATAAACTTACGTAATCTGAAATCAGCGCGTACGCTAAATTTGGCGGGCTGTTAAATGGGCGCGTTTGCTAGATTTGGCGCTTTTGCGCATACATTTTCGCTGCAATTTTTTTTACGGCCCTCAAAACGTAATAGTACCTGTAAGTACAATAAATATTTCTACTTATTTAATGTAAAAGTATTTTTCTTGTATCTGATTTAAGAAACATAAACAGTTGCATAACTATCATGGTATTTTATGCAATTATGTAAATTTTTAACACCTTAATCTCTTCGTTTACATCTTAGCATAAGCATTTCTTCCTTGCCTTACGAATGTCGATTTTATTCACATGATTTTAACATTTATATTATATAGAAGAAAAATTTTAATTAGAATGCTGTACTCTGTCGAATATAAGATGATCTTTGCTTTAAAATACTATTTTAAAATCTGTTCATCATATAGGTGCAGCTTAATATTTAAAAATATTTTGAGCAAACTTTTCATTACCTTTTACGTTAAAACAAAACCTATGTGTAGTGAAAATTTCCTAAGACAATCACGTACGGCTCCATAGAAATGTGATCTTTCGTAAAGGTGAATGTTGCTGAGAATGCAATAGTCGGTGATATTCATCGCCATTTTCTCATCATTTTCAGAATTAATGGTCACTTTCAGAGTGGTCATCTTAGGGAGTTGATCACCATAGAAGTTTTCAATGTACTTCATAAAAAGCTTTGGTTTATATATAGGTCAATACGATAATTTACATCCGTACTGATAGCAGAAATTTCATATAGATAAAATTCTTTCTACAATTAGTTGAAATAAATTTTATTTACTGAATAACACTGATATTGATTTCAAATTGCATAAACTAACCAGTGCGATTAAACGAATTTCAAGAGCTATGTACATTCTGAAAGTGAAGATCATTTAATTGCAATTTTTATTATGAAAAGTATCTAGTGACGTAATCCTGTCTAAAGAAGCAGACGATAATTCTGGAGTTGCCAAACTGGCTGAAATTTATACTGTGGTGGAAGATTGCATTATACAGAAATCTTTATGGAAGATAGTAAAGGCAACAGCAGCTGATTTTTTTCTGATTTTCTCTTCAGTCCACTTTATCTGGAAAAGAAAATGAACTTTATACATTATTTTATCTGTATTCAGGTATTAATATGTATTTCAAAAATGTATAGGAAATTTTATTAACATAGAATTTATTATAAATGAGAGTGTATTTATTAAACCGGATGAGGATCACAAAGGCTTTTTGAACCTTTTGTTTAACAGAAGTACTTTCGAAAATTTATTTTATACAAGCGTTCGACTGGCTCTTAAATGTACCGAAAAAATGCCTAATCGGAACACCAAAAATTAAAATTAAAAATTGCACAGTTTTACTCTGCAGAACACCTTTATCAAAAAAATTTAATAAAAATACATTATATATAAAAAAAAGTTACAATGAAATAAGCAATATCTCTTAAGGGGAGTCGTACACCTTAAACCCTCATGATCTTCGAAAATGTGACTGTTGCAAGAATTGGGATATTTTATTTATTTTAAAAGCAATTACTTCCAACTTTTTACAGCTGACTACATAATATAGCTGCTTTGTAAACAAGTAACCAGAAAGTTTGTGTTGCCACAAATATTTTTGTAATTTAATCATCTTTGTGACAAAATACTTCGCCATGTTTCCACCTTGGGCGCATGATATCTTAAAAATGGCTAATGATACATATTTGAAATTTGATGGAATTCTTTACATGGGTAGTATTTTCTAACTGAACCTAAAATCTGATGAATATTTTAATATTAAAAAATTTGATGGACGAAATTATTACAGACTTTTTTAATAAAATACATTTTATAAACTCAACTCAAAATAAAATAAAAATTTAACATGAAATTTTTAGAATGTTAGGTTCACGGTAGTTTCCAAATGTTATAAAAGCTATATTAGATATAGAAATAAATTATGAAACAGAATGTTATAAACTGTGCGCGCAGTTGGAAACATGACGAAAAATGTTGTCACAAAGCGGATTAAATTATAAAAATATTTGTAGCAACACAAATTTCTGATTACTATTTCAGAAAGCAGCTATATTATGTAGTCAGCTGTGAAGGTTGGTAGTAATTGCTTTTAAAATAAATAAGTTTTCCCAATTCTTTCAACAGTCACCTATTCGAACCTCTTATGGGTTTTAAAGGTGTATGAATCCCCTTAATACAAATATTAGTTATCCTAATAAATAAATTAACCAACTACCCGTTGCAAAATCTTAAGATTCATATGGTATAAAGGAAGTTAAGAACGTTTTGTACTAAAACAAATTATGCAAAACTTTTCAAAATATTTTCAATTTTAAAATATTTTCAATATTTTAAAAACAATGAAATAAGCAATAAATAACATGAAAGAAACACAAAAAACGTTCTAAAACAGAGAGTATAATTAATAATATTTTATCTCATATTTTAAAGAGAAAACAGTCAGTAGTACAGTATACATAGTACAGTGAGAATGTTTGTGTGTTTGTTCGCTAATAACTTAGTCACTACTACAGTTATCGTAACCAAACTTTCTACAATTCTTTTCGTGGATGTCCACTTTGTTCCAAAAACCAAATAGCTAAAATCAGATATATTAATTAAAAACTTTTAAAACGCTGATTTTCGCCCTGATTTTTACCAAGTGGACACAGTGTTTACATCAGCAACAATGGCGTCGTGCCATTGTTGCTGGTATGCCCATTATGTCTGATACGATTTCATAAAAAAAATAATAAAATGAAACAAATCTCATTCGAATTATCAAAAAATCGCTTCGAGATGCACTGGCTCTTGTCTAGATGTAGCTATGTACGAAATTTCGTAGCCCTGGGTCTATTAGCTTACTAGCAGCACGGACAAAAGGCAAACACACACACAAACATACAATCTCTTCCTTTTATAATATGTGGAGATTTATTTTTCAACCCAAATCTTTCCTATATTAAAAAAAAATTAGATACAATTTGTTAAAAGTCATTTCTTCTAGTACAGCGAGACGACTCGAGGGTCTCTGTTCGTCCAGGCAACATATTTTTCATAAACCTCGAAGCACTGTTATATTAATCAATTAATTTTATCATTTAGATAATTGCAGTTAAAAATATTTTTATGCGAACTTGTGTTTGTCTCGAATTGATATCAGAATTTAATCTTTCATCTCAATATTTTGAAAGATTTCGTCCACAAACGCAGCATCTTTTAATGACTAGTTTAAATTCTATGCAGAATGTTAGCCCAAATAATTGCAACTAGGTCTATATGAATTCATGTTGGATCGGAATGTCTGTAGCACACAAAAAATTTGGATCAGATTTCGGAAACTTACTCCTGCTAGAACAGACATCTGAGAAACTGTCCTTTTAACCTTAAAAAGAATATATAATTTTATAGTCAAGTGTGGATTGTTGGTTCAGCTCGTTAAAAAGAAAGCGTTAAATGTAACCAACAATAACATGGGAAATTCTAACGCCAAATAAATGCACGTAACTTTTTAGAACAGGATTTCTTAAACTTTTTGGTATGGGGGACTCCATAATATTTACGAAAATTCTGTGGGACATAAGCCTTGCTCAAATCCGATACAAGCGTGAAAGAAGCTGTGAGTTTCTTCACTTGTAATGTAATGTACTATTGCAGTTTTAGGTCATTAACTTTAGTTTTTAAAGTAAAATGAACTTTAATATTGTAAAACATTTCTTCGATACGTTTTCGTTTTTTCTTTGGTTGTATTGCCTTAGCTTTATCTATTTTTATTTACATTATGTAAACATTTTTAGTAATTGTAAAATTATTATAATAAGTTAAAGAAATATGAAAATTGCTTTGGCGACCCCTTACTGCAGGTCCCGGCACCCCAACTGAGGTCACTACCCACAGTTTAAAAAACTGTGTTTTTGAAGAATACCTATAACCTTGTAGAGTCATTAGGTTAATTGGAAGAGAAAAGATGAAAAATATGCAACCGCCTTCTCCGGGAATCGAACCACGGATCTCTGGAATACCGGCCCAGCGTGCTACCGTTACACCACGAAGGCACGCTAGGGAAGTGGGAGAAATACCTTATATACTCCCCTTTTTAAAGAGCGACTAGGGTTTTAGGTGACCTACTCGCCAAATACTGGGTGCGGAAAATCATCATCCACAACCCTTTTAGTTCGGGCGTCACTTGTAGAGTCATTAGGTTAATTGGAAGCAGAAAAGATGAAAAATATGCAACCGCCTTCGCCGAGAATCGAACCACGGACCTCTGGAATACCGGCCTAGCGTGCTAAAGTTACACCACGAAGGCACGCTAGGGAAGTGGGAGAAATACCTTATACACTCCCCTTTTAAAAGGGCGACTAGTGTTTTAGGGGACCTAGTCGCCAAATCCTGGGTGCGGAAAATCATCATTCACAACCCTTTTTAGTTCGGGCGTCACTTGTAGAGTCATTAAGTTAATTGGAAGCAGAAAAGATGAAAAATATGCAATCGCCTTCGCCGAGAATCGAACCACGGACCTCTGGAATACTGGCCTAGCGTGCTACCGTTACACCACGAAGGCACGCTAGGTAATTGGGAGAAATACCTTATAACCTGAAAACTACCAACCTGTGGATAATAAAACAAGCGTCTAAACATAAGAAACGCAGCGGTTTTGCATATTCCGTATGTGCATTCTAAGGTTAGCCAATTTTCTATATTTAAGATTTGCATGTCAACACTTCCTGTCGTGGAGCATATCAAATTCAATCGAATGTAGAAATAGATTACCTCATGCGACAATGCATATAATTACACGCAATAATTATAGGCAATTACAACATAAAAAACAGACTTTAAGATGCTTATTAGGAATATTACTAAATAGCCGAACTTTGTATTAAAATTCCACATCAGATATATAAGACATTTCATTTTTACGATCCGTAAACCGAAGAATAATCATCTACGGCAAAATGAAATTATAATTAATTAATAACATCTATAGTTTTAGCATTAAATATTTTTTTTTAAATGTTAAAATGTCACGGCAGCTTATTTGCGTTGTAATCCTAAGACAAATTTAATTGCCTTTCGCTCCTCTAAGTCGCTATTTCTTTGAAAATCGACTTATTTATGACATTCGAATATCCAAGTTGATATTATTTCAAGAAATCACTTTGAAAAGAAATTCAGTCGCATGCTTTATCTTATCTTTGTTGTTTAGAGTTAGCAATTTTCTTCAATCATAAAATTACATTTAATTGCTTCAAAATTATACTACTGCATGAATAACTGAAATTATTTTATAACAAGAAATAAAAATATAAAAAAAAGGAAAATACCTGAAAGGGTTCAGGTTTTAAATTGTCCAAAGGGGTGTTTTTTTAACATTTTGTGTGTTACCTTTATTTATTCAATATCAGGTTCCTCGCACTTAAAACATAAAGTTCAGTTCAACAGCAATATCGCAAAATAATTTCAAAATGAGCATATCTGTAAAATTTCCGATACACAATCTCGCGGGCTTGAAATATTCTTTTCTCTGTACAGTGTTGCCATTGCTAGCTTTGAAATCATTGAGTTTGTTAATCAAAAATTCTTTAAAGTTTTACAAAATACGAAATAAATAACAAAACAATTTCCAAATTCCAAATTTGGGTGGAGGACTACGCAATTCAGAATTTGATGGCTCTAGGTACCGTTGTTTTATCACAATGCGAGAAACATGCAAACATTTATGAAGATTTTTCATTATCTAATTTCTTTAAATTTAATACAGGGATCTAATATTTGGTGGAAACAATTTGAAAAGTGAACCGACATTTATAGTGGATCAACGCAAAATGCCAAAACGAAATTAATAGTCCTTCTGAGCAAACTGTTCCTTTGGACTAATAAATAATATAAACTTCTCTAGTGCTGAATTTTTAAGAACCAGTACGTAATTAAGTTCATAAAAGAATGTGAACAATTTTTGTTGCATCCAAGACCTAAAACTGAAGTACCAGTATAAAAAGCTAATATTTTATGCACTGTTTTCGGCAGTTTTACAAAGTGTCATCTAAAATTAACCTCCTACCACTTATAGCCGAATATAT